AGTACAGTTTTCCCTTGCTGTTTCTACTGAACTAAAAAAACCTTGTTGGGTAAGAGCATATAATATAATGAGCAATGGATATTCCTCTTGGCCAATGCTGTTATGAAAATGCTGGATGTTTCCAGCACAATAAGGAAGCTTAATAATTAAAAAGAAAGCCCTTAAACCATCTAAAAGGGCTATATTCATTTGCAGCTAAGGCTTTTCTGCTTACCATGCATGCCTATTTCTAAAACTGAGCCAAAAGTGATACTCAGTTAGCAATACCATTATCAGAAACTTGCCCCTTTCCAGAGTTGAAAACTGAGTTTATCCATTTGCCAAAATCTATTGAAGTAAATCAGTCTCATATTTAAAAGAAATCCCAATCAATTCAACTCTGAAGATCTTAAGTTACTGCTTTGAATGAGGCTTGAATGATAGGGCCCAGAGAATTCCTGCTGAATAATCTGTATCAGTTTCAGGGCAGAGACTATGTTCTAGCATTAACCTAGCACAGGATTTGACACAACAAAGACCAGTATCATGAAAGAGAGCGTGAAATGAAGTAACTATTCATGTTTTGGAAGCCTATCAAAGTATATACTCTGTTTTCTGTCTTTGTTTAACTTCTTGCTAGTACAAAGTCTCATAATGCAATTGGCTGCTGCAAAGTGTGAATGTGGATATCTGTAAGAGGCAGCCTAAGCAATTGGTCTGGGTACAGATCTGAATGTTGTTTCTCATCTATGGATCTGGAATAGGACAGAATAAAATTTCCCTGCTGCTTCCTTCCTTTGCTTTCCTTGTCTTGGTGTGCAATCAACTTGAAACGGTGCTGGTCTCTGCAAAGCCAAGTGTAGCAGGGCTCTCTGTCTCATTTAGGAACTTCAAGTGCCTTGCATATAAACAAGTATGATTCAGGTCCCTTTTGAAGACAACATGTTGCATGTAGCAGTATCTTTGCAAGTGTGCAGAGTTTATACAAAACAGTAAAGTCCAAATAGTACGGTTCCATCAACAGGGATCCACTGTACAGTCTTTCAAAGAGACTGTTTGCCTGTTTGACCAAATTTGCCAGGTCTGATTAATGAGCAGACCCAGTGAAATGACACTGTCTCCATCCATATCCTGAGCTGTTGTTGCTGATACCAGTTTCCACCTCTACACTGAGATTTGAGCAAATATATAGCAAACAAGAACTCCCATGCTGAGCAGAAATGCATCTGAATTTAAATGGCTTTGAAAGTGTGTGACTTAAGAGGACTGGTGAAATAGAGGGTCAGATAATGAAAGACTGAGCAGAAGTAAAAATATTTACATCTAAATAGGATTTTTATATTGGAAAATAGGTGGTATAGATTTTGAGGCAACTCACAGAGCGTACAAGCAAAAATGTAAGAAATAGCAATTTTTTTGTCTGAAATTCTTCCACCCACAGGTTACTAACTACTAGTAATTAATGGTTGCTGGTTAAGAGCTGTACTATGCATGCATGTTATATATATATGTCCTTGCTTATGTACAGGCACACATATATGACAATATAATCATACTGCAAGTGAAGTCTCAAAATCTTTCCCTAACTGTGACTTTCTTCTTTTCTTGGGTCAGACACTGGCTACTGAAAGCTAGCAAGCAATACTTTTATGTGCTGCTTCTCCAGTCTGATTTTGTATCTACATCTGATATATGAAAATGAATAATCAGAAACTCAGAAATTGGTTTTGCTACAATTACCAACTCACTGAGAGCTAGTTAGTGCTGATGAAAGGATATTGCTGTATTTATGTACTTGGAGACACACTTAGGTAGCTGATTTTTAAACACCACTGGCAAGGAAGTTGGAATGGGATTTAAGACCAGGCATGTAATTTCTTCCCATGCTTGAAAGAGAAGCTGAAACACTTGACAGGTGTATGACTGAGCTGCTGATTCAGGAGGCTGTTGCTTTTTTTTGGCCATCATTTATATTTTCTTCCTTCTATAAATCTCAAGCTGCAGCTTTGTATTGCTTTGTTTACAAAGTTGATGTTACCTTCATTTAAGTGAGAGATATTATATATCATTGAAAAGGAAAAAGTCCCATTAAAATGTACTCCAGGACAGAGTTCACAATTGCAAATCAAATATTGAATCCTGATCCCTCAAGGCTTAACTGTACCAATGGTGAACTGAGAATAAGAGCGTGCACGCTGAAGTGAAAGGGCAGGGCAGGCCTATCAAAACTTCTGAAGTTTTGTAACACAAGTCATGACAACAGTTACCAGGAAGTCCATTTTCTAGGCTTCAGTATTTTAGACTACTGAAGGACTGTCTACCATAGGAAAAGACTGTGTTACATACGGACAACTCACTGCCTCCTTTTATGCAGTATTGAAAAGCTGAAACCTCAACAAATTGTAGGGCTGGACAATCACCAATTGTGTGAAGTTTAACAAGACCAAATACAGGATTTGGCATCTGGCATAGGGCAACCCTGGCTACGTACGGACTGTGGGATAAGAGGCTGGAGAGTAGCCCCATGGAAAGGGATCTGGGGGGTTCTGGTTGACGGCAAGTTGAATCTAGTCAGCTCTGTGCCCTGGAGTGCATGAGGCCCAGCACTGCCAGCTGGGCAATGGAAGGGACTGTCCCACTTGGCTCTGTGCTGGCACAGCCTCACCTCAAGCACAGTGCTCAGGCTTGGGCATCATAGTGTAAGGACATAAAACTCTTGGAGATTGTCCAAAGGAGGGCTGTGAAAATGGTGAAGGGTCTGGAGGGCAAGATGTATGTGGAGTGGCTGAGGTTACTTCTAGCCTGACGGGAGGCGTCATGGCAGCCTACAGCTCCTCACAGGGAGCAAAGTGACAGTGCTGAGCTCTGCTCTCTGGTGACAGTGACAGAATCTGAGGGAAAATCACAGGGCTGTGTCAGGAGAGGGTCAGGAGGGTGTTAGGAAAAGGTTCTGTACCAAAGGGTTCCATGCCCTGTTCCTGGGCATGGAACAGGCTCCGTGAGGCAATGGTCACAGCTCCAAGCTGCTGGAGTTCAAGGAGCATTTGGATACCGCTCTCAGATACAGGATTTGGATTTTGGTGATCCCTGTGGGCCCCTTCCACCTTAGGATAGTCTACGATTCCATGACTTTTCACTGATGTTATGGAAGCAGCGATTAAAATGGTCTCAACTGCCTTGGCTATAATAATGATCTTGCTGGAAATGTATTCGTCTCAGTTAAACTTTCATTTTAAGACATTCATAAAAATATTTTCTAGAGAAATGGTCACCAGTGAACACTGTCTGAAGAAGTTGCTATTTCCTATTAGATAAAGAACTTCTTGCTTCTGCAAGAAACACTTCACTGACTAGTTGATGTTTGGCATAGTGAGGGACTCAGGAAGATAGTTGCTGGATACATGCAGGTATACTCAATGACTTTCTGCACATGATTTGGCTTGAGCTTTTTGTCTACTGCAGTAGCAGAGCAGTGTAAAACGCAAGGCAGAACAGCAGCTCAGAAGGTTTAAAACCTGTGGAAATGTACCAGTATCTTACCCAGCACATCATTTCTAAGATGTTACAATATACTGAATAGATGACTGAGGAAGAACGTAAAACATAAGCAAAGTGAAGTTATTCAAAGTAAGGCATATACCAGCTGACTGTTACTATTTTTGTATTTTTGAGTTGCTAAATGTTAATAGTAACACTGAAGATCAAAAAGCAAATTTGTATTGGCATGGCCCATGCCACCCAAAACTCCAAAGAGTCTGAAAATATTACAACCTACTTTTAAACTCCCATTAGCAAGTTTTTTGTTTTTTTTTGTTTTTTTAATAAATAAAATCCCATAGAAACAAGAAGTATTTACAATTAGATCAAAATTCTGAACATAATTCACAAGAGAAAACACTGTTTTTTGAGAAAATGTTTTCATATCCTCATAACAGTCATTTGTTCTAAATTAGTACACAGCAATTGTCCATTAAATGAACATTTTTCCCTTAAGACCTATTCTTGTAGAAAAGTATTTTAGGCAAAACTTCCTAACCATGATGTAACCATTTAGAATTAGAACATTTCTGTGATTAGTAATTCACATAAAAATTAATATTTTCCATGGCTTTAGGAAAACATGATAAATAATTATCAAAATGTAAGAGAAGCCAGGATGTAGGGAGAACGATATATTTTATTAAAGCAGCTTATACAGTTGAATTAAAAGTATAGGCTTTTTGGGCACTCAGTCCCCCCATAATAATAAAGGATAACACCTGTTCCTGCAAATCTGTATTCTCTTTTATCCTTAGAGCATTATGACTACTATTACATTACCACTCTCAAAATATATGCATTGTATATGTGTATGTAGACTGAAATCCTCAAGAAGTGCAACTGCTAAACTGTTACTCACAAAAATATTACCACTTGCAATGAAGTAGAATGATATTCTCTCAGTTAATGTGCTTCTTAGTTACAGAGAAATTCTTACTGTAACAAAGTCATTAATTTCATTTTCAATGCATCTTTTCCACTGTCCTCTTTAAATAACGTTTAATAATACTCATGTAAGAATATGCCCCAGCATTCCTTTTTATTTAAAACTAATTCTGGTAGCTCATTTCTAGTCATACCAATGTGAAATTGGATCGTATGGGAAATGCAGTCTCAGATTAATATTTTTTACAGTATATTACTATTATGGGAATTTGGTGTTGGAACTGTGGTCTATCTTGGTATCAGTTAGTCTTTGATATGGCCTCCTAGAGGAGGGGACAAACTCTGCAACTAAACAGAGGTTCTCAATAAGTGGTAGATGGCAAAACTTCAAGTGGCCAGTGTCCAGCGGAAAATGAGTTCATGAGAGAACAATTTCTTTTGAATGGTAACAGCCACAAATTAGTGTGCATGTAATCCCTGTCAGAATCTAATGCTCAGTTCGTGCAATGTGCCTATATCTAAAGTGCAGGAGAACATGCAATTTGAGCATTAACACACAACACAACATTTGTTTTAGGGCAATTTTTCTAAGTTACCTGAAACTTAGTGAAGATCAAAGCTGTTTAGCCTCACACTGACTTCATCTCACTGAAATCTCATCTGTGGATTTTAAACCTTGAGGCTGAATGATCCAACTCTCCAATCACTTCCTGGTAGGCATAATGCTTACTACTGACCATAGGCCCAGAGGTCTGAAATAAGTAGTAGGAAATATTTTTAGGTATGTAAGGCATAAGCGTAAGGATTTACTTTAATATTTAATTCTGACAGCTCTTTTTGTACCAACTAAGATTTCCAAGGGCCACGTTGGTAGGAAGGCCAATTTAGACTCACTGAAAATTGAGCCTTTTCACCTATTCCTAATTCTACTCCCTTTTGGTCTGCTTACATATCACCACTAGAAATATCTAAGTTTAAGGCACACTTTTTGCCAAATAAAGAAAATTTGGTCACTGTGTGGAAACTAAGAGTATTCAATTAAGGACCACTCCTTGCTTCAATGATATGTGTTACAATTAGTGGCTTTTTTTTTTCCTTTCCAAAATTCCATTCTTGAGCACATCACTATGGATCATACTTGCTTTAGATTCTCAAACACATTCACAAACAGTAAATGTGCCCACAATACATGTGAATACATGTGAGTCTAAGGTAATCTCACAGTTGTACTGAGAATACTAGAAGAAGATAGTGTAACTAAATTTACCTTTTAACAAATTTATGCTTTCCCCTATGCTTTGCTCCCTGCGGAAATCTTGTCTGACACTATAGGGCAATGTATAAAATAAAATGAGTGATCTTAAAACATTGAACCTTTCAAAAGCATTCTCATTCCCAGTGATACATAATGATATCTCAAGTCAAACTAATATACTAGGGTTTCCATTCCAGGTTTGTGTTTTCAAGAATGAATTCAAATCTTGCTTATATTTAAGAGGAGTCATCCTATTCCAATTTTTCACAGCATTCTGACTGAGTATATTTTCAATGGGAGTTCATCAAATAACTTTGGTATTATGTGAACCGATTCCACCAACAGACTTCCCAGAGTAGCTGAAGGCTGCATTAGCACTATCTGGTGTCTGGTGTGCCATGTGCATTGCAGATCATGGCAGAGAGGCAGCTGCACTGCATCTCCACACAGACTGCTTCACCACGTGTCTTGGAACTCTCTGAGCAGAGCAACCGATAAATCTGCTTCCTAAGAGTGATGAACAATGCATATTCCTCAATTAATGCTTGAAATGGAGTCAAGTTTTTTAGTTTGTCCATAAATGATGGCCCTAATTCATACTTATACAAAGTCCTCGTTACAGAACTCTATCAGTGTAAAAATATATTATGGTAGGAACAACTACTAGACCTGACATGCCTAATTTTACCTTCTGAGTTCTTGTGTGAAGTTACGCTAATCCATGATTCAACTTCATTGTTACTTTGCTGCTGCCTTGGGAACACAGAATCAAACATAATACTTAAAATGTTTCCCTAGAAATGTTTAAGGAGAAAGATTTTTATTTTTAAGTTGAAAATTTAACTGCATGCTTAACCAACCTCAGTGAAGCAAGCATCAATCATACTTGTCAAGCAATTTTAAGAAAAAGACAGTTTAAAAAATTAATTCTGAAAATACTGCCAACAATTTCATGATATAGATATTTTTAATATTAAAAGTAAATTGTAAATGTGTCTTTATAAACAATATGCATAAAATAGATCTACTATACTAAGCTCTCTCTTCTTTAAATGCTGTTTCACAGTAATTTCTTAAGTATGCAAAGTTTTCTCTCAAAGAAATAGTGCAATCTGAAGAACATACATTATGTCAGAGGATAAGAACTACTATCGCCATTAATACAAGTCTTTGTAGATTTCTTGTAGGAGTGGATGAAGACTCATATCTGTTTCCGTTTTCTTTATTATTTGCAACAGCTGCACATGTTCCGTTACAATTTGCCTGAGGTCCGTCATTTTCTGAAGCAATTTTGCAAACAGTTGTGATGATTCTGGATGATTCAGCTTTAGCTGGAGCTCCAAAGCTTGCAACAGATTATCTTGTATATCTTCAATGGGCTTCACATTTAACAAACCTGGACGGTCTAGGAAAAAAAGGAGGGAGAGGGTTTTTATTTTTATGAAGAAAATGGAAACAACAATCTAATGTAGTAATTTCTTAGTCTAAATTAAGTATTTACATATGGCACTTACTGACAACTTGACAAACTTTTAATGTACTTATTTTAAGATTTTACTAGAATCTGCTACAAGAAGTTTTAGAATTAGCCTTAGAAACAGCTCAAGCATATAAGACAGGCTTATACAGTAATGCAATGCATTTTCCAAGTAATCTTGGAAACAAACCATGAATTGGAAGATAAAAAGCCTGTACCAAGTAATCCAGCTTAGGAAAATCAACATATACTCAGTGAATTTGCATGCAATTACTACCATTAAAAATATTTCCTGTGAAGATGCACGCTAAACTATCAAATAAAAAAAGAAATAAATTCAGCTACTGAGAGAGACATTGTCCATGACAGAGTACAGAACAAGACTGATCTAGTCACACTAATCTGAGAGATCTAAAAAATTCAGGCTCAGTTCTTCTCCACATCTGAGTTCCACTTGCTGTTAAGAAATCTCATGATAGCTTTTAGCATGAGCTTAGCCACATATACTTATAGCAGTAAGAACTGATAGATGTGGCTTGCAGAGAAAATACCTTTTCTGGGCTCCAGCCAACAGAGACTTATCCTCCATAAGGAGGAACCTGGTATGGATGTTTACAACAAAAATCAGCTACATGCCTGCAACAGCTGCAAGACTCCAGGATTATTTTTGGTATATCGTATTATTTAAAAAAGAAGTAAATCTTTCCTCATTGGTCACCATTATTATCTTGCATAATGACAGTTGTTCTCTTATTTCTGTCTGCCTCCCTCCAACCATCTTTAAGAAGTTGCCATTATTTAACATAATCCCTTTTCTTTTTTTTTTTTCCCCCTAACTTGGAGTAATAAAGTATTTAATTCTACAGCCATGAAAGCAAATTAAGTTGCTTAACATAATTAAATCCGCACATATGGTAATCCTCACATCTACTGGGTAAACATCCCAATTATCAGAATACTCTGCAAAAAAAGAAGTCAATAATTTCAATAACATTTTCTGTGTAGCCATGGAATTAATTTCAGATTGATCAAAAACAAGTAATGGCTATAGCTAGCCTTGACTTACTTTTCCAAAGGAAATATTTCCCTTTCAGAATGGGCAAGAGTTTGATCTATATTTTGAAATTCTCAGATATGATCTTAGTAACCTTTCTGTGTATGCAATTCTACTGTCTAACTGCAGTTGTGTTGTATATATAAAGACTGGGGAAAAACATCTTTGTAAATAATTTGGGATGTTTCTTAAATCAGAAAAAAAATGCAGTGTAAACTAAAAGGCAGAGCTGGCATGGAAACAAATGAATATAAAAAAGCCATGAATACGGCACTGATTAGGAACATGCAGCTAACTCTCAAAAAAAAAAGCGAGGTTTGGGAATAGTATTTCAGAAGTAGGAATAATAGCAAGTTTGATATTTATTTGACTGTGGTTTTATGATGCAATAGCCTTCTGTTTTAAGTGTCTGGAATCTTCCCCTCTGGAACTTCATGCTAATAAGCTGTTTTTGTCTTCCAGAGATCACTTATTTATACCATTCAACTGGTAACACCTTAAAATAGGGTTCAGAAAATTTGTCAGTAAATACAGAACCACAGAATCATAAAAGCATTTTTGTTGGAAATATCAGCAAGCAGGAAACCATCTCCAGTTCTGGCAATACTGATAAATGAAATCAATAAGGCATTTTTAAAAAATACTTAAGAGATTTTTTTTTATATATGAATTACAGATATTTATTTTTTAGATTGCAAGCACTGCAAAAAAAACAAAACAAAACAAAACAAACAAACAAACAAAAAAACCACACAACAAAAACTAGTTGCTTTCTTCGGATCTTTCAGAAAATTCCAAGCTTGGAATAGTTCAAAGCTGTTTGATAATTTTAGCTTTGAGTTGCAATAGCTTTATATTTTACTTATATCTTGCAGATCAACTCTGAACTGGCTGAGTATGACTCAGTGTTTAGTGATACAAAAATCAAGAAGCACAAAGACTGTGGCCTCAATTTCCTCTGAGATTAATCTTTTTGCCCCCTGCTTCTTTTGCAGTGGGAATTTTTAGAGTGAGTATTTCAGAAGTGAAATTCACTTCAAACACCATGCTCCCTAGTGCAAATTTCAGAGTCCAGGAGGGGAACACAGGAGATCAGTGCTGAGACTGGAACTTAAAAATGTGTCCCTGGTAAACTGGAGATCAGTGAGATTTAAGCACCTAATTTCCTTAAGTTCTTTTGAAAACAAGCAAGCAAACAAACAAACAGACAAACAGACAAATGGTTTTGTGATAACTGAATTGAACCATGGTCAGAAAAGATGACTATGACAAAAGCTTAGGAGATTGTAAGAAGTTATTTTTAAATAGACCGATTCAGTAGAAAGGAAAATTTCCATTGAAGACAAGTGAGATTTTTTTCATGAATGAGAACTTTAGGATATGGACGTTATTTTTGGGTGTTGACAGTTTGCCATACTTTCTCAGTACAAATTTCTTACAGAGGAAAATGCTGTTTCTGTTCCAAAATACATATATAAATATGAAAAAGAAAGGAACTAAGAGGCAAAAGGCTTCATTTCAAGATGTTATCAAATACTTCAAGTTTTTCAGATGCTTTTACTCATTCTAGAATCACTGGCTTACATTAAGAAACATGTATTTTATGCAGGAGAGACAACACAAATGTAAGAAACTACAGGTACATGTGGCTTGTGGAAAAAAATACAAAGGAAATGATTAAGAGTGAGCCCTGAAAAAATTAGATTGAAGTAGACAGAAACAGAAATGGGAAGAAACTAGATGAGACAGGGTGGTGGAGGCCTTTGGAGAGGCCATGACAGAATCTAATATGCTGTATGAAAGCTCACAGAAAAGACTGCAAAGTGAATCGATGAGGGATGTGGAGACAAAGACAAGTGAGTTGTAGCAGGACATTCTTATGATCAAATGAAATTAAGTTAAAGAATGCCAAATTATAAGGACTTGAAATGATTAAAGTGAGAGAGGATAGCAAACTGGAAACTACTTTTATGCCTATTTGATAAAAAAGATTGTTTATTAAAGTTTAGAGCATTTTCACTGTCTGCTACTTGCTAGCTATCTTTAATCCATTCAAAGTATGCCTCATTTCTTTTTATTACTTTTCTTTATCCAGTTTTTTGTTAGGTTTTAATTCATTGTCATGTTGATGTTTCATTTGAAAATTCTGTGGGAAACTTTAAAACTCAGAAAAACGTTCACGCTGGCTGGGGAAGACTGATAATCCTTTAGTTTTGTTTCAGCAGTGTGACTTTGTGTAAACTTGCGCCCTAACCTATCTCAGGGAAAAAGTTTATTTCTTATACATGCTTCTTTCATGTTCCTAACGTTAACAGCAACTTTTCTACTCCTCACATTAGAAAATTCAATCTGTATGCTTTTGTCCATACCTTCATATCTTACTGTCTTTGACAAAGTGTATTTTGCACCTAAATATACATTCTCAAAACTTAACATGATAAAGCAGGCAAAGATATTTGACTGTATAACTACTACTGCTTTTGCTGAGGCACATATGATTCAGCAGATTCAGTTTTTCTTCTGAGACTGTCACATATATCGGAGTAACCAGAATTTTGGTTCAAAGCACAGAGTGATTATCTGCAGTTTTTGGTTTGATTAGGAAGCAGTTTTTTTTTATTTTAACAGGTGTGCTAAGCAGGATCTACGTAGGAGTCAAATATGGACTATTTCTTGGTACTATTCTGTGAAAAATCTTCAATTTCTTTTATTTTTTAACTCAGCTTGTAGGAAAATTATTGAATACAGTGGTTAAACAAGCAGCTGTTATTCACAGCTCAAGTAGGTAAAGAAAAATGCTCAGAGACCAATAAAAGTGAATGTAGCAACCTTTCTGAATTCAACTATTATCCTGTGAGTTGACTAATAGTGTCTGCCTCTTTACAGATGTGCCCTACCACAACTCTCTGCCACCACTACATCCTAAACACTGCGTAGAATAATTCACAGGAGGTTAGGCCCATCCATAATACATAAACATGCTATGAAATTACCTTTTGAGCTTTTTCTTTATTTGACAACAAGTGCTTTGAATCAGTTTTCCCTGTTGATAAACATGGATTAAATCCAAGAAGCCTTGGACTATTACCAAACAGATATTAACAGATATTCAACTTCTTGAACTTTTTTATTATGCTATAATTCATTTTGAGCTCTCTAACACACAGTACTTTTTAAGATGCTTTAACATATTCACCAAGGCACTCAGAACTCACTGAGGAAATGCCTCACTGGCACAGAGTTATGCAATGGGGAGGAAGAACGTCGCCTTGAAGAAAAGAGACTTTACTCTTTACATAAATATATTTTTCAAAGTTACTGTAAGTAAAAAACCACTGTAATGAAATTTTAGAATTGTTGTTAGTGGCATAAAGTATTTCCTTCATAAGAACAAGGTAACATCTTACAACTCAGAGTATCTCTGTTTCATCAGTATTCAATTCAGAATACTAGCATTTGTTTGCCATGTACAGCAATATTTTAAAGCAAAATATGCAGACATTAAGAACAATTTTCAGCTTCATAATAATGAGCTCACAGTAACATCTGGAATCACTGAGACAAAGTGTGGCTGCACTGAGCACCTCAGAAACAATGACTGTGGGAGTACTTTCATTTTGTTGCTATTACAGCTAATTTGTCAGTTTCTTGTTACTGTCATCCATAATGCAGAGTCAACTATTTTGATATCAAAAGGTTGAATGGTTTTATACGATTTGTGGCAAACCTTTTTATGTGTGATTTTCCAGCTGGAATGATCTTTCTCTTCCCTCTTTTCTTTAGAGTTGCATTGGAGATAGCACTCAGGTAGACAGCAGCACTAGCATTAGTTTGCTACAACAAATTTACTGAGAGGATTCAGCTAAGATCATTTTTTGTCTCACAAATTTTTTAGGACATCTTTGTACAACACCTATACACTGGATTTTGTGAAGTAACTGAAACATCACAGTATTCCGGAGCTACTGAAGTCTTTGAGGTACTGGTTTTGAGATCCTATTCTCAATGAAATGGTTCTGGTTGATAATCATAAAGTTCTTACAGAAGATCTTACAGAATCAAGGGCATCTAAGACATCTGAGAAATAGGTTTTCTGTTCTATATCACAGAATACATACAGTTCAATGTATGTAGTATCTAATTCAAAACTACAATATAAAGCCATTCTCTAACTGCTGGCAAATCTTAATCATTTTCAAAATATAATCTCAGTTTGCATAAATAATTATAATCCTTTTTCAAAAAGAAAAGTTCTGAACAAAGATAGTGAGAAATCTTTTATAAAATCAATGTATTTTTCTAAAGAGAACAAATTCACATTTAGGGACTGGATTTAAGTGCTAAACAATAAAATTCAGGTAGTTCTTTATGGATCTCTGTTTTCAAATTAGTCTTAAAATAACAAAGACTTGTTGAGAAATCTGGTTCAGAGCACTCAATTATTGTTTTTCTGTGGATCATTGTTCTCCTGAGATCTAAAACATATTATTAGTTACATCATACATGTTTCCTCTAATGCAAACCAAACATCACTGAAGTATAGCAGACCTAGTTTCACAGATTGCAAGTTCCCTTTTTCCAATCAGGAGTGCATTTTGAGATGCCTGTTTTTCATCTGTTAAATTTCACTGTATTAGAAAATGCGAAATACTGACATGCTTTGTGTTGTGCCCTAATAGGCTAGTTTAATTTCTTCTCCCCCATTAAATTCAACCAAAAATATACTAGTAACATATTTTTCTGTACTGAATTAATTCAGAGTCATCAGGGATCACTGTGTTCAAAGGTTTGCTCAAGAAAACATCTTCTGGGAACTGTACTTATTTGACATGGCTTTAGTTATCTAATAAAGCATATTACAATATCACGTTTTTATTGACTGAAACAAAACAGCAAAAGAGATTTTATGTGAATTTAAATGTATAAGAAGCTATGCAAAGCAAGCAATGCACTATCAACAGAATGTTTGATTTTAAAACAATGGCATGTGGTCGTTGTGTTTGATTGCTTAAACATAATTCAATAATACTCTGCATTGCTCTGTGGAGGATCTGAATTCAGAACATTCAGCACATTCCTCATATTGATATCTGCACCAGCGATCTAAGCCAAAATATACACAGATCAGTTGGTTATATTTTCTTTGTGCAACATCACTAAGTTGATAGCATTGGCTAAAGCAAAAGAACCACAATCTGATCTGAAATGTATATCTGATATAAGATATCAGATCATATCATATTGGTAGAAAGGATTCTAAGTGAACTACATTTGGGTTGTTAATTTGCAAAATGTAATAACTAAAATCTTCAGTAGACTGCCTCCAATACAAGCTGAAAATCCAGTGTCTTTATAATTAAGTGTTAGAATGAATGTAGCACAATACCTGGGCTCTCAGATTCAGATTTGCTCAAAGTCTAACACTAACAGAGCAGCTTTGAAAAAAATGAAGAGAGCAAACACACAAATATCTGTTTTTCTCAGGCATTTGCAGAACACTTTCCTAATAAACCTGCTGGTGGACAAAACCTGGTGTGAATTAAAAACCCAAAACCAATATAAACCCATCCTGTCAGCCAAATGACACATATATTTTGAAAATTTTATGGAGTCAAAGTTATTTGTTCAATTAGTAAGCCACACTTGACTGCAGGTTTAAAAAATCCTCATACAGAAGTTGAATTGTCAGAAGGTTTTGCCAGTGAAATTCCACTTGTACTCTTTTTTTTCCCCAAAAGATGGCTGTGATTTATATAATTACATTACCTACTGATTCAGGAGACGTTTCCAGATCCATCACTAATATCAGGTCATTTACATTTTCAGTTTCTGCATGAAACTGAAAAAGTGGCAAATACTACCAAGAAAGCTGAAAGCTACTCAAAAACTACCTGCAAATAAACTCCCATCTCTTACTGCTGAGCACTTTCCTGTTTGGACAGAATTAAAAGTGCCGATTCTATTACATAATATAAATAAAAGATAGCTCTTACCTCCACTTAGTATAATGACAGCTATAAATATTGCCAGGTCGCTGTCATCTAATTCCAGTGCATTGAACTTCACAGCAAACTCAAACTTGGGCTCCATAAAGTCACAAAAAGGTTTTCTCAGGCTCTTCAGAAACTCCCGTGTCATGAATCCTTGTCCATCAGATATAAGAACTCCATCTTTATTCATCAGAGAAGCCAGGAGAGTGTATATGATCTCGTGGACACCATATTTCAGGAGAGTTACCTGATCATTCAGGTCAAGATTCACAAAACCTGGAATGTTCTTTGCAAACTCTGTAATCTCCTGCACTGCTTCCACAGAGCGAAACTGACATCGCTGGAAAATACGAATTGCTACTTCTTTGTTCTGTTCCTGCAGTGGTGATGCATGCTTACATTTGATCTGATCTTCTCCCATCCTTAAAGAGTTCATGTCATAAATAACAAATGGCTAAAAATGAAAGGAGAACACAGGTTACTTTCATGTCTTTTCTATGAACATTTGGCTCTTGAGAAATTGGAGTAACGTACTGAGGTATAACTTATCAGAAAACACTTAGAAATACCTGGGCAGTGCATCAAGGGTAGTCACTTTTGGGTTAAATCTTTATAATCCTATTGAAGCAAATATTCTCATAATGTTAAAATGACATACACAAAGGATTGTGTTATGGATTTCTTATGTTCTGTAAATCAACACGATAAAAATAGGACTTTGGGAGATACTTTTCTTATCTGGAGGAGTGGGAGCTAAGAACATTTACAATATTCATGATTTTTTGTCCTGTTTTTTTTTTTTTTTTTTTTTTTTCCTCCCATTTAACAGAAGTTCTATAATTCAAAGCTCCAAATACCCATTCACACAAAATGAAAATGTTACTCCTCTTACCTGCATTTTACTGGTTTATACCAAATGTAACTAGTAAGTATTCAGCAAAATGTCTGCACTTCTGATGATACAGTTTATTTTTGTGGAGAGATACTATGTTCCCATTTTTAATACTTCATATGCTGTTACATTCTTTTACGGTTATAGAAGGATAAAACTTGAAGCAATATGGAACTAATGGCATTAATTATCTGATAATAACCTTTTGCTGTTAACTACTTTAAAAATCACAAGGTTAGGATGTATCTAAGCTTAAAAATAATTGTCCGTGGGGGAAGAAAACACAAATAACATGACACAAACTGCAACAGCACAATTCAGAACACAAGAATGAGTCTGACTGGGAAATAAATTCATTTGGAATAAATCAATTTTGAAAACAGATTAGAAAAAGTAATGCCAAGAAAACTTTTGTTAGACTGGAAGCAGTCTGTTTCAGAATATAGATGTATCCTCTGATTTTAAATAAGTGGTTAATTGAGGATTTCTTCAATTTACCTGAAGAATATTTCTGTAAAGGCCAAATGATTAAATGGTTCATGCTGCACTGAACAAACGTCTGATATTAACAGCTTTGTTAACATGCCTGATCAATTAAAATACAAGGAATTACAAAACTGGACTAGAGATTTGTTTTTTTGATTTAAGATCCTTCATCATCACTGATTTTATTGCCTTATTCACGTGGGCGTTCATTCTTTTTCTATATTCACTTCAAGCTGCAGAAGAGATTTAAAAAATAACCCACACCATTCTATACACAGTCAGCAGTATCCTCTCAGAACTGTAGGAGTTTCCATTAACTGATTCTATTTCAAATTTATTAAATCAGTTTTGAAGTCTATTCAGGGCTAGCTAAATTGTTATGGAATTTTTATAACTGCAAATAGCTACTCACTTTTGAGTGTGCTGACTGTACATGATACTGCCCAAAGATGCTTACTACTGCCCACCACAGCTAGAGTTTACTACTCCCACAGTTCTGTAGATGGAAACTGTGAAAGTGGTCAGTCATTTGAACACAGAACTCCAACACACTTTCTCTAGGAAGAGAGGGAGGGGTGATAGATGTCACAGTTTTGTCTTTTAACTGATACAGCTGCTTGGAAAACAAAGGGTCTAGGTGTGAACTGAAATAACATTATCCATGCAACAAGATTAACTCAATTTTCTGCTCCTTACATGACCAATGAAACTGGTCACTTTCACAGTAACAACAAGCAACTATAGTTCTAGACCATGAGTTTCAGTCAACTACAGAGGCTTTTTTCCCCACTTGTACTAGGATTTGGGTGCAAAACTGAAAAAATAAACACACAGCATTGAGAAAAACCAGCAGAATAAGGTATTTTTCAAGTTGCAGAGCTGTTTTGGTAGCAGAAAAAATATTCTATATACAAGTGTATATATACATGCATACATGTGTATATGTGAAACAGTGGAATAACAAGACAGAGGGAAGACTTAAAATGTGCATATTATTACTGGTAGGTCATTCCTTCCTATTCTTTCTAGAAAATCCTAAGTGGCAGTGTTAAGTACAAGAAAAAAATAATCTATTCTGAGCATGTACATGAAATGTACGTTCAGAATGACTGCTTCATACTACCATCCTACTGACATTAGAAGATGGAAATCAAGAGTTCAAAACTGCTAAAAAAGTAAATTAATACAGATTGAGATGTGCCTTATGACTATAAATTTTTATCAAATGAGCAAGCACTGTATATCCCATGAATTACTTACTCCACTGTTTTAATTACAACACTTTGACATAGCATATCTGATCATTTTCAACTGAAGCAGTCTAATAGTCTAATTTTAAGACAACATAAGAAATCTCACTTAATATTAACCTAGCATAGGTTAGCATTAACCCTGAAATCTAATAATTTGAATGCCAATACTATGAATTGGTTGTTACTGGCTACCTTACCCTAAAAATTTGGAAAATATTCTTATCTACTGTTAATACATGTGGTGGTAATTGTAGGACAAGGAAAAAGCAATGAGGTTGTTTTCTTTGTTTCCAAATTTAAAGAATTGACTACAATAAGAAACAGAACCTCTTAGTACAGAGATACTGCTTCTGAAAAAAAATACTCCTGCAACTTCCATCCAATATGATTTCTCCTCTTATATTTTAAAAATAGATAAACAATCTTCTGAGGGATATTTCAATGCTTTCTGCTCAAACATTATGCTGGCTTGTCTTTTTGCCATGATACCCACTTAGCAGAGGGATTTCTTGTGCCTGATGAATGCCCATCTGTAGCTCATCTTTCTTTTCTCCTTTTTCGTCTGCCAATCGCGCACATAATCACTATGGCATAATATGAAGCTTATGAAGAACAAGGAGTAGTACAAGTGTACAGTACAGAAAGAAGCAGGATGAAGGGCAATAAACAAGATATACAATTATGTGCACCACTTGCAGTATGTTTCCCATTCCAAAAAAATACTTATAGAGAATGCAAATAAAGTAAATTAAACTGCTATGTTAATTCTTTCCCAGTAATCTATGTTTCTGATAGAGAGAGGGAAGTAGTGGAAAGACTCTGAAAAAACAATGACCATCAAGTAGACTTAGTGTATCAGCTTTCCGCAGGATAAATAAATGACTATAGTTCAAACTTCATCTACTCCAGAATGATCAGTTACTCAAACTGAAAACGTCTGCCACAGCTAACGTGGAGTTTTTTTTTTTTTTTTGCTGCAACCAAACTGGAAACTACATTCAAATTATGATTACAGAAGTCCTTAAAAGGACAAAATGAAATACTTTTTCCTACCTTTGATATTTATGAAGAAAATTAAATAGAGTCTGTTGAAACCCTGGCAATAAAATTTCTGCTAATCATTTTAGAAAATACATCAAACTAAGAATTACTAGTTTGGGAAATGTTATTTTGATCTTTAGTTACCACAATAGTGATAAAATTAAAAAGAAAAAAAAAAAAATCTACCACAATAATCAGATCTTATTCATCCTTCTTCCCACTGACAGAAGGCTGTTAAGTACTGACAGTGAAGTTACCAAAGGAACCCAGAAATTATCTCTACGTCAATGATTTTCTTGTGCATTCTCCTAAAATTCAATTTGTACCAGCATAGAATACTAGTTAAATGCAGGAAGTCATCAGAGCATCATAAGAATAAACATCATACTTAAAGCCTGTGATGCTACTCGCATTGTGAATCATTTGACACTTATGAGAAAGAATATTGCCAGCAGCGATAATATTCTATGATAACATGCTACAATATGGATGCTTGAATAGTATAGCAACCAATTGCTGACAGCTAGATAGCCACTTAAAACAGATAGTGTGGAAGATAACCTCTGGTAAAGGAGAAGAAAAACGGGAAGAATGGATCAGAGAATACAAAAAGGTTAAGATGACCTTCAAATTCTTGTACCGGTTTCAAGTATTTTATTAGGTGGACTTGGAGTTTTTTCAAATGATGTTTACTTATCCTATCTAAAAACATTTCCTGTGTTTCAGACACAGCTTGAAACATGCAACTGCCAACAGCAAAGTTTTTTTTTTCTTTCTTTTTTTTTCTTTTTAAAGATGTGTTGTCAAATGTGGTAAATCATTTACTCAAAAGAAAAAAAAAAAAGAAAACAGAGGGAACTAACTGATTTGTCTGTCGTCTTTCCTGTCAAGATCGCCCTTGCCTTGGCTTTGGTCAGAGGGAAGGACTTTATGTATGAGTCATACAAATGCTTGGCAAGCGCTCGCAGATCAGCAGATTCAGGATTTAACTGGTCGATGTCGCTGGAAATCTCTGCCAAGAGCTTCTCCTTCTCCGCTTGTGGCATTCGCCCAAACCTGATGGCTGAAGAAGATGACAAGTAATTACCATAGTTACAGTTGCACCCACAAATGATATTTTTATTTTTCTGTCACCTTTTATTATATTATTATTCAATTTTTTTCTTAAAACAGTAGACAGACAAAAAAGAGGAAGACATTTCTCTCCAATAATATAGGCAAACTACTAAAGTGCTTCAAAGATAGGTAAACAAACCAATCTCAAAAAGAAAATAACATATATGCCTAAATAGTTCTATTACAATATCATGCTCTGAAACACAAGAACTATTGTCAGTTCATCCAACAGCCTGAGTTAGTGAAAACCACTGAATCCACCTACAACCTAAATCAAATATAAGGAGTCTTTAAGATACTAAAATTCAGTTTACTTAGGGTAGGAACCACTGTTCAGCTTTGGATTGTTTTGGGCAAATCACCACATGGATCTCAGCTTCTTCATTTGGAAACAAAACACTCACATGCCTTGCAGGAATGAATTCCTAAATAGTTCAACAGACCTTAATGTATCAAGTGATTTAAAATATTACCAAAAAGTTAAAGAATGAGAAAGAAATAAGTACAGGGAATAAGAACTACGAAAAGCCTGAGTTCTTCATCACAACTGTATGCGATTGTTATACTGTAAGAACAGCAAAGGGTTCCACCTAGTCATATGATCTCAGTTCCTCTACATATCTGTAGGGTTGGCTGTAAACTTCTCAGTTTTACCTCTATATACTTAATAGCCAAGTCACTGTTTATACTTACAGAGATGGGCTTAGAAAATACTTCAAATGAACCATCAAATTAAGACTGATTTATCATATGGTATTTCAGTAAACAGGACTTATTTTACAGTAAAAAAAAAAAAAAAAAAAAAGAAACAAAGCATCAAAACAACAACAAAATAAAAAAAAAACAGAAGGAAGAAATAAAGGTTTGCATTTTTAGCTGCAGGAGGAAAGAGAATTATTATTAATATTTTTTCAATGGTTTATGCCTTCCCTAGATAAGAACAAATTGTTCCTAAGGTCACACACACGATTACCCTAGGGATGTTTATTTTGGAAATTGTCAGCTACTTTCCTGCTTGCAGGATGCTTGCAGTGTGTTGATGAAAAAAAGGACACTTTTTTTCAAGAATAAATAATCATATTTTAAAAATTGCATTTGCTGTATTTATTGATCAGTTCTTTTATATCAGTGGTTTTTTCAGTTTGTTTCTTACTACTCTACTTTCTCTTCCAGTAAACTTGGTCTCTGAGTGATGCAAGCTATATGTTTCCTTTTTTTTGGGGTATTCTTATTGCTTACTTATGAGAATGAAAATCAGTCCGAATCAAAACTTAGCCCAGTAGGAACAAATTAACAGTGATGAACAGATTTATTTTTTTCCTCTAAATATCTGTTGCTTACAGCTTTTTATGAGGGAAATTCTGAATGATCGCCAACTGATATTTGTTTTAGATCATATCTACAATTGCACTTTTTTCCTCTCCTTTAAGGAATACTGAGCGCTCTTAATCAGCTACTTACAATAGTCTTCAGTGAGACATCACTGCCAGTCCACCTCGATGCTAACAGTAAACCATTTACAGAAAAACAATGAACTTCTTATTAGCTTAAATGACACACTATAACGGCTCAAAAAGCCACTGATAATCTTTCGAAGTCTTTTCCAACTTAGATAATTCTATGATCCAGATTAGACCACTTTTCAAATGCATATTTTGCAACAGCTTCATCAATAGAAAAGCCTCAATACTTTGATGTTTCTGATTGGTTTACTGGCAATAGATTCAGCTCCTCGTAGTTGTCTTTTCAAGAAGCATTTCCAAATAATGTCTTCAGTGAAGTCTAGCAAGAATTGCTGGACTATTACAGTGAACTTTTAATATGGAAAGTGAAGCAAGGCAAATATTAGCCTCATATAAAGGACTGTTAATAAAAAAAAAGAGACAAGAGTTGCTTATGTCTGTAAAATGCTCATCACTCCCTGAAATACATGGAGTATGACTTGAGGACTTCTTAATACATAATAAGAAACACTTAACAACCCCCCCAAAAAAATGAAACGTCCTTTGAAAGATTTCATAATTCTACCAGGAGCTAGGTGCTTTTGGCTAGAAAAGTATTTTGTTATGATAAACTATGATAGACTGTTCTGATATTTTGTATGAAATAAACTTACAGCATTATATATAATACCTTTACTTCTATAACAAATCATGCATACTTAACATATCCATTAGATATGAATTCTATAAACTCACACTGTAAGCATACTAACTCTTAAAATACTACAGAAATGGAGCTTGACTAAATAGTATGAAATGTGATTCTGGTGTGATAACTGTTCTGGAAATTCAGGGTTTGCAGAAGCAAGCACAGAATCTAGAATCTCCCTGGCATAAGGTCCCCTTTCACCACAGTTATTTTGTACAAACAAGGGAATAAACCAAGGGATTAAAAAAAAAAAAAAAAAAGATGGTATATTGCTTCCCCTTCCTATGTTTTAATATTAACTTAGCTCTAAAATAGTTTTTATACTTCCCCAAGGCATTAAAAACAATAGGTTTTTTTCTCCCCCACCTTTTTCTTTCCTCCTCTTTTAATTAAAACAGTTAAATCTTTCCTAGAAAATTCTTGATGATGTAGCATAGTGTACACACCAACTGTGGCACTGATTACTGACATAGTACTGTTAGACAGAGATTTTATTGAAATGATCGAGGATTTTCAAACTAGATGCTGTTTTGTTATTAGAGAATAATTAAGATCTATACTTCTATTCTTTTGAAGAATAAGGACTGGTAACATCTTGCTGGAAATTCAGACATAGGCTAGCAACTTTTTTTTTCCCCTAAGTATGTATCTATGTTTTCAAAATTTGGGGGTGGACAGTAGTTACTTTTTTTAAAATCTTATGGCAATTTTCCACATAACTGTATCTATCTACTGTTGCACAGATACTGCAGTATCAAACAGGTTTACTACGACTTTTGAGTATCAAATGACAGCATAGTATGTTAACTATGATTTTCTACATATGCCCCTTACCATATAACCTGAATTCCGCGTGTACTTCTATCCTGCTTCTTGGAAAGTCAATTACAGTTATTCATGCTAGCAAGTTGATATTACTAAATAGCAAATTGTTGGTAATTATCCATTAAAAACTTACAATAACAGAATTATAATAAATGACAACTTACATTGGATTTATTTTTCTTTCAGAAAATAAGATTAACTTAGATGTTCCAGAATGATGTGCTCATCTATGGCCAACAAAGGGCAACAAATTACCTTTCAATAGTATGTGTGATGAGCCCTAGAGCTTCTAATGTAAAATTATTTTGGTTAATTTACAGATTAATTTGGAGTTTGTCATTCATTTGTATACTCTTAATAGTTCTAAGCAGATGTCTTCTTTAATTTAACATTTATTATTTGCCTTGTGATGATTATACTTATTTGTATAGGAAATGCTTGCAGATCTCAATATGAAAAATGCTATAAAAACTAATAATTATTTCTTGCTATGCTGTTTTTTTCCAATACTGTTTCTTGTTGAAATCATACCTAATTTTTTGTTTTTATGTTTCTAATCTTTACATATGGAGGTAAAAAAAAAAACCAGTAAATTTCACTGGTAAAAGAGAATTCACACATTCATGTACAATCTATTTTGAAGTTCAATCTCACTGACACAGTGGAGAACTATCAATTGATACATGAAAAAAGCTGCATACAAATTTGACATGTATTTTTAAGGAATATTTGACATAGGTTTGGCATACAGCATCATGATGCCAACTTGCCTAAAATACCAGATTGGTCTCTTCTCAATAAAAAGAAAAAGCATTTTAAATTCCTTTTGTATAAATGGGCAGGGAGAGAGACCCAAAGTAGCCAACGATACTGCCAAAGGTACCACTGAATTACATTGCAAGGCCTTTTGCTAAAATGCCAGGATTGCTTTGGAAGAAAATTAGCACATATTGCAGAACGGTAAACTAAGTTCTAAGCATTAACTTCTATTCTTGAATGTCTGAATGCTGCATTCAGATATAACAAAGCTTACACATGCTATTGAAAGCTATTATGTCAAATGTTAAATCAACCCAAATTACTGTCTTTTTTTTTTTTTTTTTTAATAGCTAATCAAAATGCTATAAGGCAGACTATCTCACCCATTGTTGGTTTAACAGCCCACTTGAGCAGCACTATCTATCAGTTCAACAAAACAGCCACTAAAATCAGTAGAGTTGACATTTAACTGATAGAATCAAGTCTTTTTAAATAGTGAATTTACTTCCCCTAGAAGGGTAACAGACTCTTACAGCGTTCCGTACTAATTCATCTTCAGGGTCTAGCTTATTGCTTGTCAGCATATCAGACTTTCACATAAAATAATTCAGCAGTAATTAAATTCCTCAGGAATATTTCATGCTTTGTCATGTTTAGCATGTGGAAAACAAACTTGGAATAAAGTATGCTATGCAACTTTTAAAAATATGTAGAGATTTTTAGGTGGTGGATTGTATGCTTATTAGCAATCTATCATTTCTACATTTTTTTCTAAACGTGTATTTTTTTAGATGGAATAATAGAAGTGATTTACCTTTAGATGCTGTCCGTCTGCCACAAAAATATGTGATAAATTGTGATAAAATTCATAAACTTTCCTAAAAAAAAGGTCACTAGTATCCAAAGGTGCATTTTGAATTTAATGATTTGTTAGCAACAAAAAGTCTGAAAGTTGTGAATCAAAAATTCTTAACTTATAATTTGACAGGCAAAAACATAATTTTAAAATATAAGTGTGTTCTTTCATGTTTAAAGTATATTTTATAAATACTATTCTAGTTACAGTAGATTGTTCAGTTTTTATTATCATAGCAGGGAAAATCTGGGTCAAAATTCAATTTTGTGGTACTAGCCTAGTAGTTTTGTTTTGGAGAAGTTGTTTTCAGGGGACTGAGATAAAGTCAAGGAGAGGTCAGTGGGTTTACAGAGGGAATGTGGGAAACAGCAGTGGAATTTGGGTTGAGATGAGAAGTAGGAACGAAACTTCTGCTGAGTGGTATTTCAGAATGCAATCTGAGCAACTGAGGGTTAAACACAGAGCAGCACTGTGGTTAGAGAAGGAAAGGAAAACAATATCCAAAGCATGAGAACACTACTGTCTTTCTTAACCTTCAGCTAAGTGGTATGTAGCATTTATACATGAAAAAATGTGGCTGTTAGCTGCTAAGTGTCTTCTTGCATTCCCCCCTCTTTTTTTTTTTTTTTTTCTTAAGTGCCCTAACTATTCATTCTGCAATAATGTATCTATGCAAAGATAGCCATAGAGTGGAACCCTCAGGCACAAGAAATCCGCATTCTGACTCCAAGCATTTAAAAATCAGATAGTTTCACTATCCAAATTGTCAAACTTGAAGCTGTAAATGTAACATTAGAATCTGTCTCGGTGCCATTCACAACTTTCAGTGTTGTGCTTCTGCATGTTTCTTTATGTAGACTTCTGTCTTCAAAGGCAAGTTTTAGTTATTTTTTAGATATGTGTTTGTTTATAAGTGATGGAGGAGGAGGGTGTTGCTTCATATAATCTGATGTTACTGGAGCAGGCAAAAAACACAAATGTAGAAGCTAACACTTGAATATAAGCACTACTAACTCCTTGGTAAGTGAATTCATGTAAAAGTCAATGAAAGCATTCTTTCAAGCCCTGGGAAAAAACAGCAAAGCCATTCCCCTCTCCTGCTCCTCACAACCATGGTCTCTGCCGGTGCCAATGCTTCTTCCTGCTGTGGCTGTCCAGGAACAATTAGCAGGTGAAAATTTTTTCTGGGGCCTTTGCATTGCTGAGCCAGAGATGATGATCTCAACATTCCCCTTTTTGATAAGGCTGCACATGGTTCACATTGATATAAATGGAAACCATGTTGCTAGTTTATGAGAGAATCTGGCATGCACCTTGAAAAAAATAACAAAGCAGTCTTGAATCACTATAAAAATACCCACAGTAGCATTTCAAAATTAGTTTTATTTTTAAGAGCTACTGTTGCATCCCAGAGATGGAAAACCATATTTTCTATTGGCAAAACATTTCCCATCCATATTTACATTCACTGTATGTACTACCATCACAAATCACAGTTAAGCCTTCCTCTTGGGGACAGTGCACTCATTTTTGTAATTTTTTTTTTTCATAGTGAAAATAATGGAAGTTCAAAAAAAAACCCAAGGAACAAAAAACCACAGAAATTATTTTCCCAGTCATGTTTGCAATTCTTTACCCTTTGAATTACATAAGTCTCCATGTTATGACATCTAATTCCTGTTTCTACTAAACTTCGCCATTGCAAGGCAGCAAAGAATCTTCATCATTTATATCTTTCTGTCTAAACATTCATAAGTAAGTATTTCCAAATGAATTGATGTGTTAATTTTAAAATTCAGAGAGGTTTTCTTCTATATTGTATACAAGAGAGCAGCATAGTGATATGCTTAATGCTTTACCTACTGTAAAGAAGGCAATCACAGAACCATACACAATTGCATACAGCTTTGCAAGCAAAGACTAGAACATATACAAAATGGAAATGCTGCTTGCAGTTCACAGATGGGAAAGGATGTTTACCTCTGGATGATGGAGAAGTCAGACAATGCATAGTACAAAGGAATAACAGCTATACACACTATATGATGAGAGGCCAACAGCTGAATGAGCATGCTAAGAAACACTACACTCCTACTTACCACACATTGGAATCTATGCCCAGATGTGGGTATCCTAAGGGAGGAGGAGGACAGTTTTTTTTAATTTTTTTTTATTTTTACACAGTACAGCATATGGGCCATTTGTTCAAAGTATGTTGTATTCTAATATGAGGAAAAGTTAACTCAGCAATGCTGACTGCCCTGGATAAGCATCCTGAGCATCAAATTTAAGTTGCTGATATTCACAAACTTTTGATAAACTTTCTACTCCATATTTCACAATTAACTCCAGTTTTCAAAGAGATACTGAGCTATGGTATGGAATATGTCTTACCAGCTTGACCATGAGCTGAAAAAAAAATTACATTAGGAATATGTGAAATGAGCAAGAACGATAGAGAGTAAAACCAACTCACTGGTTATATTGTGTGAGTGACAAGTGCAAATCTTTACCTATCTGATTTTTATGTTAATTAATCTCCAATTGTATACATAGTCCACTAAACACATGGGCAGCCTCTCTGATACATATTTCTACACTGCCTGGCATAAAGAAACAGAAGGCTCAAAACAACAGAGCATCAAATTCAGTACACAGATACATGCTTCATGTTATTTTTTGAAAACAAACACTACTGTTTTATAATATGCTGTGTACACTTACCATTATGTGACATTCCAACTGCAAGACATTTCTGAAATCTACAGTATTGACATTTATTTCTGCTTTTCTTATGGATACGACAATTAAGATCACACCTGTCATAAATAAGCTTTAATCTGATTGTTCTTCGAAAAAAGCCCTGTAACAAACATAAAAGCACATAAAAGAATAAACACTGCTAGCATCACTGTCTCAATTCTGTATAGACATACAAAGCACATTTCTGCATGCACGTTGAGTCTAAATTTGTATTAGACAGATTTCTGAAGAAAGCAATGGTCGTGTGATCATATCTGCATAGCAGCATGCTCCCATTCTAAACTTATTAGCCATTTTCAGCCAGGCTTGATATGGGTAAAAGTCTAAAAAATAAAAATCTATGAAAACTAATGAGAATGAATAGGGTTGAAAGGATGCTATTATCACAAATTGACAGTACTACAGCCTGAGGAAAGGAAATAAGGCTCCTTTTAGGGCTCATGAGAGAAGTGGTTATTCTATTTCTTTTTGTTGGCAACGTGCTACCCTAGTTTTGCAATATATATTTCTGGGTTCTATCTTTGAGGCTTTATTTTCTAGTTTGTTCCTGTTGTTTGGATTTTACAAGTTTGTAAAGTACACTGGCACGTGAAAAAAATCAGAAACTTGATATTACTTGAATAAACTTGAATAAAAATTACTTTGATAAATTTGAATTACTCATGATAATTATTAAACAGAAATCTTATGAGGTCTCATAAGGACGGATATTGTTATGGAAATCCACAGTTCTGTCTTTTGACAATCTAAAAGTACCTTCTGAAATCAATGATAAGTGATGAATAAAGATTACCTGAATTTGCCCTCAATTGTTCATTGTAACAGTTTCCTCACAGAATAAAAACAATAATATAAGCATAATATTGATTGATGTGTATATGGTTCACTGTAACGTAAGCAATCAACAACACACTCACTACTTTATATATATTCCGAATTTAGTGCTCAAAATTTTAGTTCAGGTCTGCACTGGGTTTTTACTATCACTTATTTTCCTCAAGATATTGAAAATAGCAACAACCTGAATTTAAAATGTGTATTTTTAAAAAATTTTTTAACTCAATGAATTTAATGTAATTTCTTTCTCTGGTGCTTATCTTCTCATTCTTGAGGACAATCAATTTTCATTTTCATTTATTTATTATAGACACTAAAAAACACTGCCATCAAAAGAAGTCAGTGGTGTTTTGAAGTGGATAGCCACATTCTCTAATATCATTACACTCTTCTTTAGTCACCTGGAATGTGTAAATTGGGTAAAGAAACTCTAATAAATCAGAACAATAGAGTCTGAATTTTAAATTGCTTGGACTATTGAGGTTTGAAATTCAGAAAAAGCCTGCTTTTGCTTCATTTTACGAATTCTAATTCATGGAGATCTAGTGATCTCCAAGACAGCAAGAAAGGGACATAACTGCATAATTAAGAAAAGTACAAGTGCAAACAAATTCAAATAGATCAGTAACATAAGTGATAAAAACGAACATGTTAAGACTTCTACTTACTATAGTATATATTGTATGAAACAATTTAAAAGACTTAAAACTTATTTAAATGAAAATAGTATTAAAACTTCAGAGAAAACATTTGTGACTACTTACCTTACAGCCTTCACATGCATGTACTCCGTAATGAAATCCAGAGGCCTTGTCCCCACACACACGACATTCAATAGCCATAAGGGAGTTGGAAGACTCCTCATGAGGTTTATTGTATAACTGCACTTTTTCAGAAAAATAGGGTGGAGAAGGAGGCTCCATTTTGATTGCACCTGTATATAGAGAAGATTTAAATGAATAATTCAAAAAGTGTGATTAAATATATGGTAGAAGAAGAAGCAAGGAAGAATCAGAAACAATCACAGCAAACACAGCCAGATTCATAGGTATGCTTTGTAATAGAAAATGATGGTAGTAAACAAAGGATATAAGGGAATGGAAGTTGTATGCAGCTATTTCACTGGTAGTGTGTAGGCTGAAAGCCTTGAAGAGGCATATGGGAATCATATCACAAATTCACTTTCCAGCTTTGTAGTGCAGAATGATTTTTCTACAGATATGTAAAATCTGCATATGAAGACCTCAAACTCAAATTGTCTTTTTCCTTTTCTCAGTATCTAATTAGGTTACTTTAAGGTATTCAGAACTACTGCAGAGTAAAGAACTGGACACTCTAATCTCATGAAAAACACCTATGCAATAAACACACAGTGAATAATTTGTATATTTAATGAAATTTATCTCCCTCCTAGGATGCTCTCTAGAGATTAATCTTCTCAAAATTTCTAATTATTGTGAGAGCACTTTGTAACATTGAATAAGCTCAAACAACCAAATATGATATATTTAAATCAATCACTGCTGGTCAAAGAAGAAAGCTGTGACAACTGACACCATAACATTACATCAAATAACACTTCAGGAACTACATGACAGATGCAGTATTACCATAACATGAACATTTTGTTTTCTGTTTGGCTACACTACATAAACTGGGAAGTTTTCTTTTCTACAAAACCAGGGGAAAAAAGGAAGAAGTTAGCTGAGTAAAGACCATGAGGATTTAGCATGCCTCATGATTTAGCTAATCAACTCCCTTGTTATGAAAGTAGTATGGGATTTTCTAATCAAGCAAAAGAGAAATTAATTATTAGCAGTACAAGTGTATTTTAATTCACTTCATAAATAACTCAGAACTACACAGCACCTGGTTCTCTCTATTACCAAAAGTAAATAGTATAATCCTCCATGCCAGAATTTCACAAAAAATTCCAACAAAAGTGATGTCAGATTTAAATAGAGTCAGTGGATCTTTAAAAAAGTTCCAGGCACAGCAACCTGACTTCTTACTATGAGTAGGAATGCAATAGCAATTTATTTCAGAGTAGACTACTATTTTTTTTTTTCTTCTCTCTCCGTAAAGGAGAATTCTGTGTACTGTCTACATAACTGGGAAAAGATGTTGGTTTTTCATAGTATATAAATAATACTAGGTCACAAATTTTCAAGGTTATGTGCGCATTAGGAACATTGATAAAAGTTTTACAAACATAGTGGCAGCCAATATTTTCATTTCATCAGCTTCTTAGCCTATTTGGAATTCAAAAGCTCAATTTATTATTAATTAATATGCTACATATGCTGGGTGTTACTATATGACACCCTGTCCAGTCACTAGAGGCTCCTCTAGAAGAGTGAAGGTTGCCCTATCAGAATATAATGTGGATATCTGCTGGTTTTGGATTTATAATCTCTCCATTTAGGCATATGATTCCATCCAATTCTTTTGCTGGTGGTACAATTTCTAGAGAATGAAGCAAATGTGAGCACAAAGAAATACTGAAAAATAGAAAACATACTTTGGCAATCCTGGAGCTTGATGTCATATTTATAATCAATGCTTGTTTGATCAGCTCTTCCAAGAGGTATATCTTCATAGTGTGGAGAAGAAATGCTTGAAAAATCAACAGTGGTAAATGGCTTTATGTCAAAGGAATGCATATGATCATCCATCGCAGACAGATCCACTGGGCTAATTCCAAAATTAACGGGCCAAAACGGCATTTCTGTGTCAACCATTGTAATCTCTGAAAACAAAAAAGAAACATGCTTTTTAAAGATGCTAGTTATTTCCGTAATGTGTTTGAGCCCAAGTTAAGGCCTAATTGTCTACTGCCCAAAGGGCCAAGATGCTAATCAACATTCAGGTGTAGGCTTTAGAGGAAAGCATCATCTCCTTTCATCATTCAGCTTGAGTTTTTCACCATATAGTCTGTTTAGGAATATTGCATGGATAATACTAAATAGCCAGTACAGCTTTGAGGTTCTTCCTAGACAGGCCCTAATATCTTACACATCATAAGAACAAATGACATTTTGTTGGCATCAGTGCTCAGGTTACCCTTGGAACAGAATAGCAAGTCATAGGTATGCTACTAGAATGACCTGATCTGTACCTCAAAAGGCAGCAGAGACAACTAGAGAATTCTCAGAATAATAGTGCAATCAAGTGAATAACTGGCAAAAAGTACATGAGGAAAAAAATCCTGAGTGTTCAGAAGAAATACAAATTCATTTTTATAGATCATTTTGTACTTCAGTAGGCACACAAGTCATTTAAAAAAAAAAAACAATTATGTGAAATTAAAGTACAACTGGAAACAAACTGCTCACCATTTTTACATGATTATATGATTTTTACATTGATTATACTGACTTTAACTGCATCTCTCAATAACATGTACATACTAAAGTTTTTTTTTTTAATATCAAGAAAAAAATTGTAGTTGGTATTAAATAATTATAGTTTAATTGTGAAATCTGTAGTTGGTCTAGTACATCAAAACTTTTATACTAGAATCTTAAATGCAAGGCTCAAGGAAAATTACTCTGTAACTTCTTAAATCCCATATATGTTTATGCAGAACCTGAGAGCCATAAACAAAGAGCTCCAATCTGTGAAAATCTTTGGCAAATTGAATAAATTTAGATTGAGTTATAAAATGTTTATCTGAGTCAGATGCTTATCTGACTGTCAGATCAACCAAAAATCATTGATTTAAACATATTTCAACTATGAAAAAGTTCATATTTCACAAACTGATTCATAACAAGCATTCATATTCAGTTTTTCATGATTCATAAAAAGGACATTTTAATCTAAAAATAGAATAGAGATTATGGAACTAAAATAACTTGGTCACTTTGGCTGTTTTATTTGGACTTCAGATCCATCAAGTGAATAGCTTTTAACATTTAGACGACAGAAACTTATTTGATTTGATCTATTTGGAATTAGTCAAAACTACTCTGCCTGCCGCAGTTCCTAAACCGTTATGAAATGAATAGAATGGAACAGACCTGCTCTGTTACTTTGAGATGATCCTTTGTTTTGACATGGAGATAAGTAAGTACAACAGTGACCGTCCTCCCCCATCAACTGTGCTGAAGTGCCAAGATGGTAATGGCCAGACATGGTTGTGGTTCTCTTAATCTTTCCTCAGGAAAGCCACCATAATTCTTCCTCCTCTTAGGGCTCACAGCACAACCTTGAACACTGACATCAGCGGCTGGAAGATGCTTTTTGTTCTTAAAGTTCAGGTAGGACTACTCTGCAGTGAGAACACAAGTGTTCCTGCTGTAGCACATGCTCCACATCACACACATTGTCCCTAGCAGAACAGAAGGGCAACCCACAGCTCCTTCGTACTGCCACTGCTATCACTACATGCCTGATAAAGTAGAGTTCTGTAAAGCAAACATTGTTTGATGGTGAACTTTTGGCTAGGTTATCCTAACAGTCCTCTCCAAAGGTTTCAGCCAGTAGATAGGATATACAGATTCACATGCTATCCTTAATGAAATAAGGATAAAGACAATGAACTCCACTTCTTCCAGAGGTTAACATCCCATGGTAAGTAAATACCATTTCTTTAGACAACTAAAATGGTTTTGTTAAATGATTTGACTAAAAAAAAAAACCAAAAAAAACACCTGCATATTTATAGTTTTTGTAAGATAGACAAAATTAAAAAACCTTATGTTGTCTAAAATGGCCACTTGCATACCTCATAACTGCACTATACATACATAAAAATACACATATGTACACACATAACTGTGATTATCTGAAGATTTCTTTTAAAGGACGAGTCTAGCATGCTAAAATGACTGACATAAATAGGATTTAATTAACACAAAGAAATTTGCATATACGTTATTAACTGCTTTTCTTCCACTGAACGCTATTAACCATAGCTATGTTGTAAATCTCTATTTGCCTATTTCTAGATTGCAATGTACATAATATATAATTTTTTTGTTACAACAAAACAGTAAGGCATTAATGACCCCAAACCAATAATATTCATAAGCACTTCAGAATTATAAGAATTCTGTTCTGGATATAAAATCAGACCATTTCAGCACAGATTTAAAGTTCTAATCTTCTTCACATATGAATGGTCTTAGCTGAATCATAAATATACTGCTAAGTTTAATACAATTTACCATTACGATGGAAGAAAATGAGTTTTTCCAATATTGTCTGATTTGTATTATAAATATTAGAGGAATGAAAAATATACATTCCAATTTTATTCTTACGTTACTGAAAACTAAAACGTTGAGCTGTTCCTATGTTTAATAGTTTGTTTATAAGATATTTCTCATTTGCATGGAACTTTACCTAACTTCTGCCGTATATCTTCTCCTTTTTCTTCCCCTTGAAAAGGTGAATGCCAACATTCTCCTTTGCAAGGATAATGTTCAATTGCTATCCTCAAACAACAAAAACCAAACATCCAAAGCATAAGTCCCATCAACAAACTAATCAAGAACTCCTTCATAAAGTTCACAGATGCCCACGTGAGATCCAGGTAATCAAAGCATTAAGTTGGATTAAAAGATTTCCATGTGTAAAAAAATCACTCTTCAGCCAAGAGAAGATTGTGCAGAAAACAAGCAGAGATGTCACTCACGTAAAGCCAAAAGAATATTTCATCAAGAAAAAAACCCACAGAACTGAAAGAAAATGCTGTTGAGCTAACATTAAGAACTGAGAGATGATTCTAGTTGCTATAACTCCTGTCACATGCATTTAATCTCACACAACCAACAGGTGACTACTGTCTACAAGGAAGTAAAAGAAGGCACGTGACCTTAGCTAATAATTGTATTAACAGCCACTATGGTAGCTTAGCCTTATCATAGTGCTGGCTGTGAGAACTGTGTCACTCAGTAGACATTTGAAGTTGAACTGATTTCCAGTTTGCAAGGAAGCTCTTCAGTGCATTTTTTTAAATAGGAAAGCACAGAATACAATGTCAGAGACCATCACGGTATGAAAAGCATCCTGGATCACAACCTCCCCTTTGCCATAAAGACTACCTGTGCTCAGTTAACCTGAAAGGCCTGTTGCACTGCATTCTAGGAACACTTTTTCCAGACAAAACTACCAAAATGTGACCCTCTAGGTATTTAGCAAAACAAACAAAACATCCTAGCATAACACGAGACACAGAAAATCAAGAACAACAACAACAAAAAAGCTGCAGCATCTCAACTTTGAGCTAAAAATGAAGGCAACGGCATAATAATACTATAGGTCCAAATGTAAATATGAACACACATAATAATTAACATTGTGTGTTTAGGGTTTTTTTTTTTTTTTTTTTTTAAGTTAAAACACATTTTCATGGAAGAGTTTGAATTTCATCTCAGATATAAATATCTTATGGAGTTTATCAAATAAATTAATACGCAGGTTCTGCAGAATGTAATGAGAACCTTGCTAATTAATGTAATTAGAGCAAGTACAGACCATCTCTGAAATAACTTCATGTGTGAGTTGGTCAAGATCATAAAACCATTCTTAACTTGTAAGAAAAAAAAGAGATAGTGAAGGATCAACTTCATATCCCTATATGTTTAATTTATCTCTGTAACAATGATGTCTTTTGTATACCTTAAAATCAACGTACCCTAAACAATGGTAACACATCCAGTTAATTAGAGAACTTCATTAATCTCTTGTGAAGGAAATGCTGTGATGGACTGTAAGAAGAATAAGGACCATCCTGCAATAAAGCAATCACATCTCCCTTTCAATAATTCAGTTTTTTCATTGCCTCTGACACAGAAATCCTATTGGCAATGCATAAATAGCTTAAGCCAACATTTTGATCAGTGCTGTTTTCAGGTCCTAAATATGAGGCATATGGTCTGATTTTGTGATACGCTGTGTTCAAAAAATAACTCACCAATGTTTCTGGAAGGTGTAAATAGTCATGAATCCTATTAAGAGACAGATTAAAAAAAGACAATCTCTTATTAATTTTTCTTCTGGTTATTTAGTGAAAAGTTGCATCATCTTACTACACCTGCTTTGTCCTGGAGAATAAAAATTACTACTCTGTGCTCTCTGTCTCAGTTCTCTACACGTCCAGTGAAAGCATGATATATATTATTTTCTTTCTCACCTTGTATGATTATTTAAATTTTAGTCTCTTTCAGTGGGGATTGTATTGCTCTATACATTTTTTATATCCATGATTATGTCTAAGTACAATCAGGCTTTAACCCCAGTCTGAGTCTCTTTACTCATGAAAACAATATACTTTTCATTTAAAGTATCTGTCTGCATAGTGAACTTTACCTAATAAGAAAATTTGCATAAAACAAAGGCACTATTTATCCAAATGGTTTTGGATAAGCCAAAACATGTCCATTTTTTTCTATATTGTAAAGAATAACCTAATGCTCTTGGACAGATTCCATTTAATTCATTAAAGCAACGATGCTGGTGTGATCTCCAGGTTCTCAAATGTAGCAAACCACTCCATAGTGTAGGACCTGAACTCCTTTGTGTTCTGTTGCTGCAGAGTCAGCAGAGGGAGCACAACATAACTAAAAAAGCTCTTTCCAAGAACTCTGCTGACACAATCTGTGACATTCTTAAAACAAACAAACAAGCAAAAAAGGACATGAAAAGAGCCATGTTTGCTGATACAACCAAATCAGTATTTGACAAAATCCCAAAGGACTTTTTGCCAAACTCAGTGAGCTTCAAAAGGTGAAAAACAAACAGCAGCAAAAAGATGTGAGGATTTCCTTTAAAAGTTCCATTGTTGTCTTGTAATGTTATGTTACTGTAATCAAGAAGAATTTATTTTCATCCACGATTGCCTGTAAAATTCAAGGCAGAAATCTATTTATGTCATGATTTGTGCACAGAACTGCAATAAGTTTATAGACTTAGTAAAAAAAAAAAAAAAAAGTATTTTTCCAAGAAAATGAGAAATGGCTACAGTTGTGGAAATTGGACACAGACTCACTTAGATCAAATTTTAGTATTGTATGTTCAGTCTTATTTGAAAACTCAGCACTATGCCCAGCATTCCCACCTTAGAACTGTGTATTGTAGCGGCAATAAAAACACTTCGGCACGCACCTTGGACATCATTCCTGCCTGTACTGTCGTATCACCTGACCTCCAATTTTTAATTTAAGCATGAATTTACCAGAACTACTTAGGAATGGAAAATAAGCTCACTGGAAAACAAAAGAGCAATACATGAATTTGTTGCAACTAGAGAAAGATAAACTAAAGCCAGAATTTTTATTGAAAATACAGAAGCATGTTTCATCCCTCCTGTTTAATTTTCCTTTAAGAAGAAGGAAATACCTTGTGTCTTCCAGCAATAGTTAGCATCAGGAATTAGCTCCGCAAGAGCAAGTGACTTAATGAAGAAGTTCTCAGGTGATTTAGTTCATTACTTTTAATGCAGCCCTAACTCTAAGCACAGGATGAAGACGATAGATAACATTTTCTTCTTTGTTCTTAGATTCAACCTTCAAACCATCTAAACATGGCCCAAAAAAATGAAGACGTCTGTTAGGAAAAGATACCCAGCAATATGAAAAGGATGCAACACAGCACACATTTAAAGAATAGGTATAACCATTCAATATAAAAGTAAGCCTGGTGGTTCTAGACAAAATGGTTCTGATATATTTTTATTCAGAGGAAGAGGTATGCATCACTAGTAGGGGAGAGTCGGCCAACATGTGCACTTCAAAGTTTAATCACTAAGTGAAAGAATAGGACCTTATGAAAGTCTTGTTTTACAGCCTGCTGTACTAACCAGCAAAACCAGCACAGGGCCAAAAGCCTGACAGTGAAGAGTTGGAACTGAGTAGAGTGCTAAAGGTGTGACAGAAAACAAACAAACAAACCAAAAAACAACACATCAACAACAACAATAAACAACACTCCCAGGAATGTCTTGAAACCCTGCCACGAGATGCCATTTCTGTCACCTAACATAAACCACAGAGTGCCAGAGTGGCTGTCTTAACAACCAAACTCAGAAATCCAAGTGCTGCTCTGTCCAAGGGCTGCAGAGAACAGTCATTGAGATCCTACAAAAAGCCAAATAACAGATTGGTGTGGTGATGTCAGTGCATCCACCCTCTCACCAAGGCTGCACAGTAAAACACCAGAAATGGTGGAAGCGCAAACACGAGAGAAGGACAAAAGCAAGCAACTCATAAATCAGTAGGAAATGTATTTTATTCCTGTTACTGATTCACAACTACACACTGCAACAACTTCAAAGCACAGTCCATAACATTTACTACGATGTTCAGCAGGGAGTAGCTAACAGAAAGAGAATGAAAAAAAAGTTCCTTGTGAGAATAATAGATCTGTTTAATTTAACATATATTTTCTACTGTGCCTATAGTTCACAGAAAATGGCACATGGCCCTGACTTCTCACGTGAATTAGCAATATTTCAGGCTTTTGCAGCAACAGAAACAACCGTAAATACAAATGCAAATTAACAATCTTAAAAATATCACAGACTGCCTCAATACAAATTCTCAGGATATTAAAAAAACTAATGGCAAGGCTGTGCTCAACTTGTAATTTAAATAGAAACTGGG